TCAAAATTTATCAGAGTATTGACCTATGATCAGAAGTTCTAGCCAAACGAGGAAATAGTTTGCTGTCAGCACATGGTCACCACACAGACCCCCGTGGCAGTGTTGATTCAGGTGTGGAGCTCGTGGACAGCAGGTGTGTCCCATTTTGATTTTCTGGAGCCTCCTGCATTCTGAGATAGCTGCCTTTGTTTCTTTGTACTATATGTGCAGAAGAGGTGGCATATTCCTTGGTCCTAATCATGAAGGGCAGCCGAAGATAATCTATGAGTGTGTCTTGAAAACCACAAAGGTATTTTTTCTACTTTGAGTGGCAGGACTGCATCACTACACTTATACCTGTCAGTTAATTGTCCTATAACACTGCTCTTTTGTTTAAAACTTTTTATAACTCCTGGGGCCTAAGAGTGAAATTTAAATTCCTAAACCTGGCCTTCTATCCACCAGAAACTGACCCTAACGAATTTCCCAACATTATTTCTATTGTCCTTCAAGGGCCATAGGACCAGGCTCAACCACATGCCACTCCCTTTCCAACCTCACTCACACCTCCCCCTCCATTAGAATGTCTTTTCCTCTTTATTCCCTCTCAACCCTTTTATTAGGGGCTGAATGTTGGTGTCCCCTTCCCCCTAAATTCGGAGGTTGAAGCCTCAAACTTCCAGTGTAATTACTTGGAGATGGGGCCTCTGAGGAATTAATTTAGTAACTAGAGATGGGGCCCTTTCCATTAGCATTAGTGTCCTTAGAAGAAGAAAAACCAGAGCATTTGTACTCTCTCTGTGTCCACACTCAGAGCAAAGGTCATGTGAGGACAGAGGGGTGTACTGCCAACCAGGAAGAGAGTTATCACCAGAAGCCAGCCCTGCAGGACCTAGAATGGGACTTCTAGCCTCCATGGAAGTAAGAAAATACATTTCTAGTGTTTAACCAGCCAATCTCAGTATTTTGTCAATGCAGCCCAAGCAAACTAAGATCCTTGGAATAGCTCTTACACCTGCCCATCCAAACCTATTTATTCTTCAAGGACAACCCAAAGACCATGACGCTTTCCTCGGTTCCTCCACTCTGTTCGTATTTCTTAAGACAGTTGATGTTCTGTCCTGTCTGTGTAGTTGTTTATGTACACATTTTCCAACCTCCTTACTAGTAAACTTTGGTGGTAACCACTGATTCGATATAGTAGCTTCACATACCTCCTACAGTGCTTGGAACTTACTCAATACACAACAGATATTAATGGAATGAGTGAATGATTAAAAGAGACATGGTGAGAAATAAGAAACTTTATTTAAAATTTAAAGAGGGAGCCAAGAATTGAGATGTGTTATATTAATAAATGGAGAGAAAAAGTTAATTTTCAGTTTAGTAATGTTTAAACTAAATAGGTCTATCAGAAGACAATGTCAGGAGTTTTCATTTTGTTTTCACACTGGAGTCTGACATGTTTATCTCTTCATAGGGGCTTTAACTTACTATGGGGTAAATTTTTTGGTGGCAAAAAGATGGGAAGGAACTCAGCAGGTAGGGGAAAACTAGCATTTTATGACTGGAATCATAATCATAAATTAAAGCTCTGCTATCATACCCATTTGAGTCTGAAGCTTACAGATGGGCTTGAATTGGACATTCAGGATCAGATTGAGGATGGGTCCCTTCCTAGTTCCCATCCTCCTATCAGAGGCTTCGTTGTCTCCCTTCCTCTCACTCCCTAGATGTGATTTTTAAATTTGTATCTTGGAACAGGCAACATTTATGCAAATCGACATTTACAAACTATGGCTAAGTGAAACGTTTTCTGAAAATCATGATCTGTGTTGAATGTCTGAGTCACAGTGATAAGGATAACTGAGCTCAGTACCTTTCAGACAGACACCTTTGTCCAACACTGAGCGGGAGGCTACAACTGGACGCAACAGCAGTCAGAAAGAACATCCTGAAAGATTCTAGAAAGCCCTGGAGTGGCGGGGCCTGGCAGTCAGGAGGACTGGAGTTCCAAGGAGGAAAGCAAGCTCCCTACTCAGAGGAACTGCTAAGGTAAAGGGGACAGTAGAGGAAGTAGGTGATGTGCAGATCGCAGGAGACCTCTTGGGGCTGCCCAGTGAGAGGCTCAGGAGGGGTAGGCTCCCAGGGAGTAGGACAGTGGGGGTTTGGGTACATGGGAGGCCCTGGGAGCCCTGGCACTGAGGGGCGAGAGGGAGCGGAGGTGCAGAGCAGGAAGCACAACGGCTGTGGTCCCTGCCTGTGGCTCCCTTGCAACCACCTCAGCCCAGGATTCTGGGTAGGGTGAGGAAGGGTGACACTCCAGGAGTTTGGGTCCTCAAGGGAGGATGATTTTCTCACAACTCAGTCAGAAAGCCATGTTTTTATTTCTCTTCTCATCCCAGTAACTATGTCCAGAAAACACCTAGAAAAATGAGAGCTATAAGCAAGCCTGAAAAAAACCATGAAAGTCTTCTAGAGAAGGTAAATGGCGTTGCTGATTCTATAATTCTACTGTTGTATAAAGTTCTTAGATGGGCAAAAAGCATTCTACATATGTAAACAATGTTGCTTCGGAAAAAGTCCTTGCAGGAGAAGCAGATTTAATTCTAGGGAAAGTTTGTCCAGCACTTGCCTAGCTTCTGTTTTTCCTCAAAAGATCTGGTGCTTCAGTGTGATTTAAATGTCACTGTTGAAGCAATACCTTTGAATGCTGTTTTATACCAGGTGGTTTTCCAGGGGAAAGGAGGTGAGCCCCTCTACCAAATTAGACCTTTATATTGAGAAACAAAATGTGCAGATCGCCATTTGGTGTTTTACTTGAGAAAATCAAACTCTAAAAGACTTTGAGGTCTGGATGCAGCCATCTTCCCAAATTTCTGAGCCTGCAGAAATTTCTACCTTTTTAGTCCAATGAGGATTCTGGCAAGAGTGATCAGTGAGGGAGGATATTTGCTAGGAAGTTTTGGCCTTATGTAAATGACAGCATCTATTTAGGGTACCACATCTGTAGTGACCATTTAGCAAGCTTTTGGAGCCCTTTGCGAAGGTAAAATATGATCAGATTTCAAGGTTTTATTGTTTCATTTCCTCCAGATTTCAAGAGATTCTTAGAAGCAGGTGTCACCATGGGAAGCCCCAGGAAATCAGGATAAACTCCTCAATATAGGTAGGGTAACCCCTTAAACTAAAAAGCCTCCAAACCTGAAGGAAGAGCCCTCTTGTTATGGCTAACTCACTTGGCTTAGGCATCTGGATTGGCCTATTTACCTTGGGTATACTCCAAGAATATGACCCCTTCACCCACCATCCATGATAAACATTACTTCTCTGTCCCCACTGTGAACTTGAGCTTGGATTATTTTATTATATAGTGTAAACTGTCTTGGTGGGGCCTTTCTGTCATTTTTGTTACAAAATCCTGCTGTGGTGCTGCTTTAGGCACCCCTAATTCTCTTAGTGCTATACTGGAAAAATAAGTTCATATTTAAAACAAAACCTGATTCACAGACTTGCATGCCTGACGATATCAGAAAAGTAAGAAAGAAGTAAGGGATGATACCAGAGAAGTAAGTATTGAGAATTAGTGCCTTGTCCGTTGTTGGCACTGTGCCTTTTACTGTGATGAAATGGGAAACCAGAGGATGGTTCTAAACAAGGAAGCAACAGGATCTCATTTAGCAAGACAATTCTGCTGCTGGGTTGAGAAGGAAAAGGGGCACATGTAGAAGAATTAAGATGCCACTGAACTCATTCCTGCAGAAATAATTAATCAGAAAATATTGATTCATTTACTAAAAGAGAAGAACATGTGCTTCCAGGGTACAAAAATAAAAAGGGGGGAGCAATTATTTTAGGGATGTTTAAATTGCAAGAAAAAGACCACTTTGGCAGCTACTCTGCTACCTGGGGAGCTAGGGCTTCAGGACTTTTTTCTCTTGAGCGACCTATTAACCAAGTAGGGTTTGGACAATGCAATTAAGCATGAGCCTTCACGGGGGTCTGCTTAGCATGTCTGCCTCCTCCCATTTCCCAAGCTTGACTGGGTGCCTGTTAGAAACAGATTCCTGGGTCCTTACCACTCAGTGAGTATTAAACTATACCCAGGGAATATATATATACTTTCGGCAGGAATATGAGAGGCTCCTTAAGACTAGGAAGATGGGGAAACTGCTTAATATCAGCCTTCCCACCTCCAACACACTTCGGGAATGTCAGCGGACCCGAAAAGCGCTGCAGGGCTCCCCTGCGGCCAGCAGGTGGCGCCACGGGGCCGTGAGCTGCGAGGCGCGCGTTGCTAGGAGGAGAGGCGCCGCGAGCGCGGGGCGTGCGGCGCGGGGCGGTCCTCCCGCTGCTCCCCCGGGGGAGCGGCGCGTGCGGACAGAGGCAGGCGCGGCGCCGTCGGTGCCCCGGCTTCATTTTAGGCCAGTGGGGCTCTTAAACCGTACCTAGCCGGCTTCCCCTGCTCCTGGGTCAGAAAAGCGCAGCCCTCTCTGCACCACACCGAGCCCCGGGGAGCCAGCAACGCGGGGCGGCGGGAGCCCGGCCTGCGCCGCGGGACCTCGCCACGGCCCCGCCGACCCCGGCGCGCGGATCTACTACTGAGGCCCCTCGGGGAGCGGCGGCCGCGGACGGCCCCTTGCCATTGGTGGCGGGGCGGGCGGCCCCGCCTCCCCTCGTACAGCTCTCGCCTGTGACTGGCGCGCGGGTCCCGGCCGGCCACGCCCCCTCCTCTCGCAAATACACAAGAGTCACGCGCCTTTCAGTTGGAAACTTGGCGTGCAGAGGACCGAGGCCCGCATCGCCCCACCCACCTGCCTTGCCATTGGCCCGCGGCGCCGCTCGCGGCCACGCCCCCATTCCAGCCCCCTGGCTGGGAAGGCGGGCGCCGCTCGTGATTGGCTGGCCGGCCTGTCTCTCGCGGGAGCGGCGGGCGCTCTCCCCACGCCCTCCCCTCCCGCGAGCCTCGAGGTGCCTCTGCCGGCCGAGGCCGAGCCGCTGTCAGTCAGGGAGGCGGGCTGCTGGGCGCCGGGTGCAGACGCTCCGCTGCAAGCTCGACCCGAGGCCGATGCCTGCGCTCGCGCCGCCGGGTGGGAAGCATGAGGCCGCAGCTGGAGCAGCCACCCTATGATTGGCTGTGGCGCTGGTGAACCCGAAGTAAAGATGGCGGGCGGGCAGGCAGCCGCCGCACTGCCCACTTGGAAGATGGCGGCTCGCCGCAGCCTCAGTGCCCGCGGCCGGGGGCTCCTGCAGGCGGCGGGGCGGCTGCTGCCGCTGCTACTGCTGAGCTGCTGCTGCGGCGCGGGCGGCTGCGCGGCGGCCGCCGAGAGCGAGGAGACGGTGATCATCGGGCTGCGGCTGGAGGACACGAACGACGTGTCGTTCATGGAAGGAGGGGCGCTGCGGGTGAGCGAGCGGACCCGGGTCAAGCTGCGGGTGTACGGGCAGAACATCAACAACGAGACCTGGTCCCGCATCGCCTTCACCGAGCACGAGCGGCGGCGCCACAGCCCCGGCGAGCGCGGGCTGGGGGGTCCCGCGCCCCCGGAGCCGGACAGCGGCCCCCAGCGCTGCGGCATCCGCACCTCAGACATCATCATCTTGCCCCACATCATCCTCAACCGCCGCACCTCGGGCATCATCGAGATCGAGATCAAGCCGCTGCGCAAGATGGAGAAGAGCAAGTCCTATTACCTGTGCACGTCGCTCTCCACGCCCGCCCTGGGCGCCGGGGGTCCGGGGTCCGCGGGCGGCGCCGTCGGGGGCAAGGGTGGCTCCGGGGTGGCGGGGCTCCCCCCACCCCCGTGGGCCGAGACCACCTGGATTTACCACGATGGCGAGGACACCAAGATGATCGTGGGTGAGGAGAAGAAGTTCTTGCTGCCCTTCTGGCTGCAGGTGATCTTCATTTCGTTGCTCCTGTGCCTGTCGGGGATGTTCAGCGGCCTCAACCTGGGGCTCATGGCCCTGGACCCCATGGAGCTGCGCATCGTGCAGAACTGCGGCACCGAGAAGGAGAAAAATTATGCCAAGCGCATTGAGCCCGTGCGCAGGCAGGGCAACTACCTGCTGTGCTCGCTGCTGCTGGGCAACGTGCTGGTCAATACCACTCTCACCATCCTGCTCGACGACATCGCGGGCTCGGGCCTCGTGGCGGTGGTGGTCTCCACCATCGGCATCGTCATCTTCGGGGAGATCGTGCCCCAGGCCATCTGCTCCCGGCACGGCCTGGCTGTGGGAGCCAACACCATCTTCCTCACCAAGTTTTTCATGATGATGACCTTCCCCGCCTCTTACCCGGTCAGCAAGCTGCTGGACTGCGTCCTGGGCCAGGAGATAGGCACGGTCTATAATCGGGAAAAACTGCTGGAGATGCTCCGGGTCACTGACCCCTACAACGACCTCGTGAAGGAGGAGCTGAACATCATCCAAGGGGCGCTGGAGCTCCGCACCAAGACGGTGGAGGATGTGATGACTCCCCTCCGGGACTGCTTCATGATCACCGGGGAGGCCATCCTGGACTTCAACACGATGTCGGAGATCATGGAGAGCGGCTACACTCGCATCCCAGTGTTTGAGGGGGAGCGCTCCAACATCGTGGACCTCCTCTTTGTCAAAGACCTGGCCTTCGTGGATCCAGATGACTGTACTCCCCTGAAAACCATCACTAAGTTTTATAACCACCCCTTGCACTTTGTTTTCAATGACACCAAGTTGGACGCTATGCTGGAAGAATTTAAGAAAGGTGGGAAATTTTGGTATCTTTCATTGGCTTGCTCTTTCTCTCTCCACCCTCCTCCCTACTTGAGTCCTCTACCCTCAGACCAACCCCCCAAGGCGAGTTGACCGGAATTTCTCCTTCGCTCTCTTAATTGCAAAGTTGAAAGGGTGGCGTGGATTTGGGCACGGATTGAACTAGTAAGCGCTTTCAGGTTCTTTCAAAGCACAACACTGCCTTCACTTGCTTTCTCCATATCAAAAAGCAGGCTGCCTAATTTATGTGATGATAACCTTCCACCCCGCAGCCCCTCCGAGGGGTGGGGGACTCTGGTCTGGAGGGGTCTGTGCAGGCTTTGCCAGGGTTCTGAGCGGGTAGGAGGTGGAAGGAGCTGGTGAATGCCATACTGTGCCTTTGGGTTGACATATACTAATTGTAGGCATTTAAAAAACATTTAAATAGCGTTTCTAAACCGGTACTGCCATTTTCCTCCTCCTTAAGCTTTACTGAGGTTTCAGAGATTGTTGAAAGTGCATATTCAATAGCTTCTGTTCCTGGTTGTCTGTTGACCTGTTGGGGGTAGATTGGAGTCTGCCTTTGAGGATAGGGGATGGAGTAAGCCAAGTATCTCTCTTTCTCTCTCTGTCTCTTACAGACACACACACACACACACTCATTAGCTAGAAAAGAGGTTTTTTTGTTTGTGTTTTTAATTAAAGTTAGTTATTAACATTTTATTTGGAAAGACTGGAGGTAAGTTAATCTATGCCTTGTCCAGCTTTCAAGCTTTATTAACTATTTGTTTATATTTACCTGACAATGAGCAAAATTTCCCAGACTAAGTGTGGTTTTGGCAGAAAGCTTGAACCTCTAACGGTGGGATGAATCCCTCTATTATGGTTTTATTTCTTGAATCTTTCTGCTTTAAAGTGTTCTTTTTAACCTGGTACATTAAATTGAAGTATTTCTCTAAATCCGTGTTCACTGTTACAGGGAGTTTAAACAGGGAAGCAAAGTGCAGAGAATGAAGTGTCAGCCTTTCTTGTATCCTGTTGTATTTTGTTTGTTTGAACATGTAACGCACAGGTACCTACATACACCCTCATACTGTTATTACTGAAATTCTGCCTTTGGAAAAGTTTCAGTAATTAGTGTTGTCATTTGAAAAGCAAAGAAAGCTAAATTTTTAAATTGTGTGATACCAGGGCATGTGCACTTACTAAAGTGTGTATGTAGCCATTAATGACCTGATAGTCCTCAAAGCTAATTTTTCCTTCTTAAAATAGAATTTGGATCAACAATAGGGTCTCTCCACTGAAATCTGGCATGTGTAAGTGGAGACAGCTCCCTGGATGTGATGATCTGAACATATTCATGGAGTGTGTGGTTGTCCTAATTCCTTTTTCCTGGCTGAATGGTGTCCTTGCTGGAACAGGATCACATTGCAGTAATTTTCAGATAAAGGAATAGAGCAGAATGTGCTTTGGAGATTGGTAATTTGCATTTAAATGCAGGGGAGATTCTTCTAGATTCTTAAACAGTAAAAAAGAAAATATCCATTATCTCTAGGTGACGGAAGTTTCTTTTGGGGTGTCATTTGGGGGTGTCATTATTCTTTCCCTACTAAGTTGTTAATTAGAGCATCTAAACAGTTGCTTGTCATTTTGCAGTAATATCTGTGATACTGAAAGATGGCTTGGAGTGTTTGAAAATACTATTTAAATATTTAGTCTTTCTGTTGCTAAATTTCCCACATTTATACAGGTAATTTTTTATATTTTGGGGGGAATTTTTTGCATCTTCTGATGGTCTGATTATACTAGTTAATGTGTATTCCCTACTGAAGTCTTTCCTTCACTTCTGTATCTCTTTTTTTCCCCCCTTTTGAGAATGTGGTTCTTCACCTCACAGCTCATTAATCTTACCCTTAACTTAAAATTTCAAAATTGGCATTATTTTGAAATTTGTTCTTGGTTGTCCTTGATCACTTTTCCATTGGCTGGAACGTTTTCATAAGGAATTTTTTTTTCCCTTATAATTGCCTTGCACAGTATTTTCTTTGAAATGTATCCTTTAACTGATTGAGTTACTAATATTTTCCTCTGAATTCTGGAAAAATAACAGTGTGCAAGCTTTTATTTTTACGCTTAACCAGGATAGTAATTTGATTAAGAAGATTGTACAAGTTGTAGGTACGTGCAAGCCAATGGCATCTTTGAAGAGCGGTCTAAGATGGTTGGTTAGAAATGGGAAATTTAAACCATGATCTTAAGTGGATAGAAGAGTGGGTATTTGTCTCTATAGGAATAATTGATTTTCACCTTTCCAGTCTTGATCTTTTTTTAATCAGTTTGGGCGCTTTAGCTGCACTAACCACTGTGATAATAAGATATTAAGTTTTTTCTGGACTATTTAAAATGTCTTACTTGATCTTTTCCCCTCTTCATTTTGTAATTCAGTCATGAACTAATGTGAGCAGTCAAACTTCTATTGTTTTTTCTCTATTGATTAATGGAATACAGGATGGTGGGAAAGCTTTTTCTTCCTCACTTTCCTTCTCTCTAACAATATCAACTGTAAGTCCCCCATCATGGTTAGAACATTAATTTAGATGTCACTGAAAAATAATCCTTCCTAATTAAGATAATCTGCATTAAGCCCTTCCAGTCCATCACTCATCTGAGGTATTTTTCACTAAGGAGAGGGGGAAGGTTCTATGATGTGTAATGAAATGAAAGCCACCTTTATATAATTATGTATGAATGTCTTCTCTCTAATAATTAGAACTTTTTGTTTGGCTACCAAGACACCTTGACTGGGGTTGAAAGATAAGTAATAGTGCTAATTTTACAGTTAGCTTATTATTGTTACTTATTTACTCTGTGCCAGGTGCTCCTCTGAAAAAGGTGATTCACTTTACATGAATCACCTTGTTTAAATCTCTTAATGATTGAGTGAAGCATTATTTCTAGTTTACAAATGAGGGGATTGAGGCTTAGGTTAAATGATTTGTTCAAGGTCACACAGTAATTTGTGATTTTGGATTTTAACTCAGGTCTGTATGACAGCAGAACTTGTTCTCTTAATCTCTCTTTTATGCTGGTCCCCTTGATCAAGATTTAAATTACTATTTTAAGTGCAGATGAAGTTAGGTCATCTGTCAAAACTTTGTCTCAGCAGACACAGAAATGTATTTAATTGTATATTTGTATTTAATTGTGTATATGTACATGTATGTATGTGTGTGGAGAGAGAGACACAGACACTTTAAACTGTGCTTCTGTGATGTTCTACATAATTGTTGGTTTCTCCACTTTTGCCATTAAAACAAATTAATTATTTTAGCTTCCGTGATCCTAAATCTAAAGAATTCTCTTTCCAGTATTTCTAGGTCAAGCATCAAGATCCACTTGGAAAATATTTTTTACTAACATTATAGCACTGGTGTGCCACTTCAGTGGCTGCTCTACTGTTGTTTTTCTAGTAGCTAAAGCATGTATTAATGTTCCACTTAGTCTCTCATCTGTTTCTGTTGCAAGGGTGACACAGACTCAGTTTTGTGTTTTAATGTTGATCTATACATTGTTATAACCGCTTATATCATACTTGTCAGTGTATGTCTTTTCCAGCTCTTGCTCTCAGTCCCTATGTAATGTCTTTTCCTGTTAGTTTTGTAGCTGTTTCTAAATCTAAATAAGAGAATAAAAGTAAATCCCACTAGAGGATTATGGAAATTTTAGAAAAATTGTCTAAAGCAAAAGAGCGTGGAGGAAGGAAATGGTAAATTTCTACACTTGGGTGTAGAAAGGACACCAAAGACTCTCCACTTACATGACAAAACCTTTAACAAAACCTGGGGATAAGTCTCCCCACCCAGTTGACTACTTTGAGATTGGATTAGAAGAATTAATTACTAGTTACTGTTTTTCTTGTCTGCTTATTATTATTATTGTTGTTTTTTTTTTTAGCTTTTTAACTTGCATTCCAGTACTTGTTTACAGCTGCTAGGGGCTTAGCCAGATTATTTTCTTGCTTTTTCTTAGTTAAGACCAAGTAGCATCCCCAGATGATGTCTTTCTGTAAGGAAAGAGTACAATGTGTAGTTTTCACTGAAAACATTAGTATACAGTTCTCTCTTCCATGCAAGTCTTTCCATATTAATGTGCTGAGAGTTTAATATTAAAAACTTTTTTCTCGCCAAATAAAGTGTTCCACTTGTTTAGAGTCCAGGGGCTATTTTTATTGATGTTTAAAGGTATGAATGGGATGGAAATAAGGGTAGATATACTTGTTTCTGTGATTTTTGTATGTTTATTATTTTGTGTAATAATTTTGTGTTTGAGAGCATCATTATGAAATACCCAGATAGTGAAAGTCAAGTCAGAGCTAGAAGGCAAGCAGCTTGAGGATCAAGTCTAGTGTTTGTAAATTTACCAGATGATAAGAAATACTTGGGGGTCATTCATTAAGAATGAGGTCCATACTTATTAAGAATAAGAATGTTCTTATGGGGATAATACTAGTAATAATAAGAATAAGGCCTCACTTAGAGACTTCTTAGACCAGTTTCCAGGGAAGTGATCTTGGAATCCATGTTGTTAACATTTACCCTAACGTAATTCTTTGGTTAAGTGGGTGAGGTAAGTTAGAGAAACGGTCTCGGTCTTGTCAGCTTCTGGGAAGGAAAGTAACCCTAAGAAAGAGCAGAGGGAAGACCATGAAATGATTTGCTTAGGGTTGTTCACCTCACAAGTAGATCCAATTGGACTGGACCCCCCCCCCCCCCCCCCCCGCCGGAGCTGCAGTTCTTGGCACTTCAACACGTCTTCTGTATCTAGGTTCCTCAGTTCCAGGCAGGTGTAGCATTGGAAAAGCAAATATTCAGAGTTGTCACTGGTTTTTACTTGTCTTGATTTTGATGTCAGTCTTTGTAATATCCTGGATTCATTCTATCTTTGAAAGGCATTTTGTTACATAGAAAAGAAGTCTGAATATATGAGCTCTTTTTATTTTAGATTAATTTTGAC